GGATGATGAGACTTTATTTGTACCTCTGCTTGTAAAAGAAATATTCATTTGGTATATTGTTTTTAACTTTTTTAAAGTTGTCCATGGACATAACTCCAGGTTGACAGATTTTTCCTTTTAGTATGTTACTAAAAGAAAAATATTACTTCACTGTCTTCTTGCTTGCATTGCTGTCACCACTTTCTGTGTTCCTCTGTACATAATATGGTTTCCCCCTTGTGGCTGGTTTAAAGATTTTCTTTGATTTTAAGCAATTTATGATGTATGCCAATTATTTTCTCCTCACTTTTCTCCCTAAAGCACACAAATTTTGTACTTGAGGCTACTTGAAATTGTCCCTGGATCATTAATGCTCTTTGATTTTGGAACTTTTTTCTCTCTATGCTTTGTTTTGTAGTTTCTATTGCTATATTTTTAATTTCACTAACTTTTTCTTCAGTAACGTCTAATCTGCCATTAATCACATCTTGTGTGTTTTTCATTTTAGACATTGTTGTTTTCATCTCTAGAGCTCACCCTGGAATATACTAGACTCCTTTTTTCCTTACAAAAGTTGGAGATAACCCAGTGATTTTAGAAAGCAGTTACATTATTGCCTTCTGCATAAGAAACACTCTGAAGCCCCCCATTGTGGCATATGCTTGTTATCCAATTGAGGCAGAGGTAGCAAGATTAAGTCTGGAACGAATATGGGCAAATTAGTAAGACTGTTTTAAAATAAAGAAATAAAAAGGGCTGAGGATGTAGTTTAGTGGAAGAGTGCCCCTGGGTTCAATCCCCAGTACTGCCATCACCACTACAAAAACAAACAAACAAACATTTTTTTTTTTTTTTTTTTTGAATATTTAACATTAATGCACATGAATATTTTTATTTTTATTTTTATTTATTTATTTATTTTTTTTAATTTTTTATTGTGGGTTGTTCAAAACATTACAAATTTCTTGACATATCATATTCCACACTTTGATTCAAGTGGGTTATGAACTCCCACCTTCACCCCATACACAGATTGCAGAATCACATCAGTTACACATCCATTGATTTACAAATTGCCATACTAGTGTCTGTTGTGCTCCACTGCCTTTCCCATCCTCCACCCTCCCCCCTCCCCACCTCTCCCCTCCCCTCCCCTCCTCTCTCTCTACCTCCTCCACTGTATAACCCTGAGGGTCTCCTTCCATTACCATGCAATTTCCCTTCTCTCTCCCTTTCCCTCCCACCTCTCATCCCTGTTAAATGTTAATCTTCTTCTCCTGTTCTTCGTCCCTACACTGTTCTTAGTTACTCTCCTTATATCAAAGAAGACATTTGGCATTTGTTTTTTAGGGATTGGCTAGCTTCACTTAGCATAATCTGCTCTAATGCCATCCATTTCCCTGTAAATTCTATGATTTTGTCATTTTTTAATGCAGAGTAATACTCCATTGTGTATAAATGCCACATTTTTTTTATCCATTCGTCTATTGAAGGGCATCTAGGTTGGTTCCACAGTCTTGCTATTGTGAACTGTGCTGCTATGAACATCGATGTAGCAGTGTCCCTGTAGCATGCTCTTTTTAGGTCTTTAGGGAATAGACCAAGAAGGGGAATAGCTGGGTCAAATGGTGGCTCCATTCCCAGCTTTCCAAGAAATCTCCATACTGCTTTCCAAATTGGCTGCACCAATCTGCAGTCCCACCAGCAATGTACAAGTGTACCCTTTTCCCCACATCCTCGCCAGCACTTCAAACAAACATTTTGACTATACATTTTACCTTAAAAAGACATCATCACAAAGCAGCTCTTTTCAATTTTATTTTAGTTGTAGATGGACACAATATCTTGATTTTATTTATTTTTATGTGGTGCTGAGGATCGAAGGCAAGTGCTCCACCACCAAGCCACAACCCCAGCCCACAAAGCAGTTCTTTTAACTTTTTTTTTTTTTGGTGCTGAGGATTGAACCCAGGACCTTGCACATGCAAGGAAAGCACCCTACCAACTGAGCTATATCCCCAGCCTCACAAAGCAGCTCTTTTTAACCCCAAATTATTGTCCCTAAATATGTTGTTGTTTTTCCAGTGACGGTTATATTTTTGTTCTGGCAATATATTCTGAAAAGAACAGTATCTCCAATTCTCAAAAGCTAGAAACTTTACATTAGGAATTTGAACTCTTTAAGCTCAGATTAAAATTTTTTGTGCAATGGCTGAGTGAGGTGGCACAAGCCTGCACTCCTAAACTACTTGGGAGAATGTGGTAGGAGTTCAGGGCCACTGAGCAATAGTGAGACCTTATCTCAAAGTAAAACAGGTTGGGGATATAACAGTAGAGTGCTTGCCTATTACGTTTGAGGTCCTGGGTTCAACCCTTAGTGTTTCCTTCTCCACAAAAAAATAGAACTTGTGTAATAGTTTTTAATCACACAGTTCACCACTTGGTTAGGCATTCATATTTTCCCTAAACAGATGGTACAGGAACATTTCTTCCTTTATTTTATTTTATTTTTGTAGTAGGGATTGAACCCACAGGTGCTTTACCAATAAGCTGCACCCTCATTTTTTTTTTTTTTTTTGAGACAGGGTCTCACTAAATTGCTTAGGGTTTTGCTAAATTGCTGAGGCAGGCAAGCCTCAAACTCCTTCTGCCTCAGCTTCTCAAGTCACTGGGATTACAGGCATGCATCACTGAGAGAGCAAACAGTGCAGAAGGCTAAAATTTATCAAACTCTCAGAGACAAAACCAAAACCAAATTAGCTGTTTATCAGTTGGGGGTAGTGGCAGAAAGTTCGCCAAACTTGAGACCAGCATTGACAATTTAGTAAGACCCTGTCTCAAAAAATAAAAGGGCTGAGGATGTGGCTTATTGGTAAGTGTCCCTGGGTTCAATCAAAAGTTATTGACCATATTACCATTTTAAGTTCATATTCATACTAAAATTGTGTTGTTTTCATGGTGCTGGGGACTGAACCCAGGGGTGCTCTACCTCTGAGCTACATCCCCAATCCTTTTTGTTTCAAGACAGGGTCTTGCTAAATCCCCTAGACTGGCTTAAACTCGCAATCGTTGGCCAGGCAAGATTGCACACGCCTGTAATCCCAGCAGGCTGGGAACGCTGAGGTAAGAGGATTGTGAGTTCAAAGTCAGCCTCAGCAAAAGCGAGGAGCTAGGCAACTCAGTGAGACCCTGTCTCTAAATAAATTATTAAAAAAAAAAAAAAAATAGGGCTGGGGATGTGGCTCAGTGCCCCTGAGTTCAATCCCTGGTACCAAAAACAACAAAAAAGCTTGCAATCCTCCTGTCTCAGCCTCCTAGGAGCTGGGATTATTTATAGGCATCTGCCACTGCACGTGGCTGTACTGAATTCTTTTCAAGTCAAGTCAAATGGCAGGGAAATGTGTTTTTTCTTTTTACTGAGTGAACTTTGGCTTGCCACATGCAAGTGAACACTTAGGAAGTGAATGGTCTTGACTATCTTGAACCAGATTCTGACCCATTTTCATAGCACTATTCACATTAAACACATATTTTTTTTTCTAATGTCAAAGAGGTACTGAATCATACATCCTAATGTTCTATTTAATCAACCATTATGTTGAGTACCATTTTCCATGATGCTTACCAAAAGTCAAGAATTATTTTACCAATTTACCTTGTGCAAAACATAAGTAGAATGATCAGCATTAAAGACAAATACAAAACGTTAATAACCAAACTATACAGAATTGAGAAGCCTATTTTTAGAACTATCATTTACATACCTCTCATGTTTCCAAAATATTATATATATATATAATCTTTTAAAAAAATTCTTGGGCTGGGGATGTGGCTCATGGGCTGGGGATGTGGCTCAAGCGTAGCGCACTCGCCTGGCATGCGTGCGGCCTGGGTTCGATCCTCAGCACCACATACAAAGATGTTGTGTCCGCCAAAAACTAAAAAATAAATATCAAAAAATTCTCTCTCTTTAAAAAAAAATTCTCATTTTTTTGGTATCAGGGATTGAAACCAGGGATGCTTAACCACTGAGCCACATCCCCAGCCCTTTGTTATGTTTTATTTAGAGACAGAGTCTCACAGAGTTGCTTATGGCCTAGCACTAAATTGCTGAGACTGGTTTGAAACACAATCTTCCTGCCTCAGCTTCCCAAGCTGCTGGGATTACAGGTGTGCATGCACAGCTATATCACCTTTTGGTCCCAATCCACACATACAGATATCAACATTTCACATAATGTAAATGGGCCAATGTTATTAATGTATACCCTACACTAATACTCCATCAAGTTACGCTTTCTGTCCCATCACTTGCATGAACCAGTTTTTTTCCTTCAGTACCCATGGCCTCACACATGCTAGGAAAAGCACTCTAACTACATTTCCAGATCTTCTAAGCCTAAATTCTTTTACCTAAATAAAATGGATGGCTTAAGTCAAGCTCATGGTGCACTACTTTTATCCCAGCTATATAGGAGGCTGAAGCAGGAGGATTGAAAATCCAAGGTCAACCTGGGCAACTTAGTGAGTCCTAGCCTCAAAATAAAATTTAAGAGGACTGAATATGTTACTCAGTGTTAGAAAACTTGCCTAGCATGAGTTGAAGCCCTGGGTTTAATCAAGCACCACAGAAAAGAGTGTTTAGAAATGAACCTCTGTAAGTGACAAAGTTCTGATCCTAGGTGTAGCATCGTATTTAAAAATCAGAATATTCTATCTAAAGTAAATTTGGCATCCTAATCTAGGAAATTTGAATTCTAAGGATATAATATTCAAATATAACTAACCCCATCTCAGAACATTTTTTTAATAAATCATGACTCTGTATCAAGAACAATTACATTCCTAAGAACTCAATATTTTTTTCTAAGAAACAAAACTGACTTTTAAAGAAACTTCAGTTTTAGTAATATTATCATCCTTTAATCTGTTTAGAGCATGTTTAGACTTTTAAGATTGCAATGAAGCACACACATGAATTCATTTGAAGTATGAACAAACTACCATCAAACTTTTTAACATTTCAGTTTTCAAATGAAGGGTTTAATTTCAATGTTGTGGCTGCCTGTTATCCATTTAATACATTAATGATACATATTTTTTGCACACATTGAAGGAACTTAGTAAGACTGAAATTAATAGTGGTATGAAAGTTAGAATGCCACTGTACATTCAGATTTTAACTTCAACCAGTTACACAACTGTCAGACTCTATTCTTAAAAAAAAAAAAAATCAAAGGTGTTTTTAATTAAAGAAGCATTTATTTAAACATTTTAAAAATAAAACCCGGTTGCATGAAATATACGTTGATTATTAAAAAGTTCAACTTGACTCTAAAATAAATAATATTCGGAAGCTGTTTCATTAAAAAAAAAAACTTTGATTTAGGAATTATTTTTAATTATTGGTGGTTTTAGTTATTTTAATACCAAACCCAGAATTTTAAAAAGTAAAACTTGTTTCTCAGTTTGAAACCTAACTTATCATAAAAAAATATTTTTACATGGCCTTTCTGTTTAGCATTGAAATCACAGAATTAGTAAAGCTAACAGTATACTTTGACACAACTGGTTATTAAATCTGTAGGACAAAATTTTTTGTATTTTTAAATTATCTTTTAGGTAATGTACAAGCAGTCTTATGCAGAAATGGGAAAGGTTTTTGCCTAACCAAAGAACATACTACTCGAAACATCAAAGAAAGAAGAAGAGTACTTCAGACTGGAGCAGTAATCAGTTCAAATGAACCGTATGGGCTCCTAGAAGGGCAAATAAAAACCACAAGAGGACTTGGATTTCATGGAAATCTCAAACTGAAAAAATCCATTATCCCAGCACCTCAAACTATTTCTATTCCTATGGATGACTTATGTCAATTCCTTATCTTAGCTACTAATGGACTCTGGGAAGTTTTGGATAAAAAGGAAGTCACTGCAATGGTAATAACAATGTTTCATATGTATAAAGAAACATACACCTCAATCACACAGTTAGAAGCTCTACCATCTACAGGGCCTCCGCTTCTTCCAAACAGTGACAAAAGTAATAATGAATTTGAAAGTGATATCCACATATTGTTTCAGTGTGAATCCAAATCTGAAGAATATGTGTCAACCACAAATTCAAAAAACTCGTCTGACTATAGTATTGATGACCCGAAAAATGAAGAATTATCTTCACCAACAACTAGTCATGAGAATGAAATTGAAAGTGTAGATGATGAGCAAACAAGTATAAAAGAATTAGGCACTAAAAATTTCTATGAAGGTGCAGCTGAGTATATTAGCCATAAACTTGTAAATGCTGCTTTAGAGGCTGGATCCAGAGACAACATTACAGTTATGGTAATATTTCTCAGTGGAAGTGAATATCACTTGCTGCCATAAAATATAAAGTTCTAATTATCCAGAGAACCAAAATATAATGCCACAAAGCAATTCGTTTATGAAGCAGATGTTAGGATGATACATCAATACCATGTAAATAATTTTAAGAAAGTAGTAAATATAAAAGTAGATTTTAGGTTACATAATATAATTTACATATGTTCACCATTTTATGCCAAAAAAGAGAAAAACCAGTACTTGCTTTTTATACCACTTTATTCCAACCTGAGCACCTCAATATAAAACTAAACACTGGTGAACTGTTTTCCTTACTAATTCTGAATTACTGTAAAATGTACAAGTTCTGCTAGCAGTTCAACACTTAAATAGATTAAATCATCTCTGACACATGGTAGATTTCATATAATGAAAAGACCTAAAATAATTAGTGCAATATACTGAACTGATTAAAATAAAATGGACTTTGAAAAACAAGGCTGCAAGATTGTTACTAACAATGCAATATTTATGTTACAAATTACAGGTACATTGTTTATTATGGTTCTAGTTATGAGGAACAACTGAAGCCCCTTCCTTTCAAAGGAGGAAGAAATAATTAGCTGTTTTAGTAACTGTACATTTTGTATACTTTAAGCAATTCTTAAATATTACAGAAAAATAATAAACATATGGAGACAATGCAGTACCCTATTTACAGTACAGATGGAAATCAAATTTAAAGTAATCAAGTTTGAATGTACATAATTGTTAGTGCACTGACTATATTTATATCCAAAGGGAACAAAAGCCCCTTCCCTATCCCCAAACAAGACCTATATAATGGCCAGCAGTGATTAAATATAAATCACAGACACCTGGTTTGTTTCATTTTTGTTGAAGAGCTCACATGAAGAGAACACTATTTATTAAATTGCATTTATCTGTTTTTATACTCTTAAAACAAGATGGGGCTACATTTGCTTTTTTACCCCATTTAAAAAAATAACGGGACTGGCTATAATTTTGATGCCACTAATTTCCTTCTTCTTCCTGGAGATGTGGGACGGTATTCTTATGGTTAATTTATTATTAAAATGTGGAATGTACACTTTAGATAAAAGAAATTATCATTTGCCTGAATACTGCAGCTAAGCATAAACATCTGGAGAATCCTAAAAATGTTTTTCGAAAGTCCAAATTAATAATTTCTAAATCTTTAACATAGATGACTACTGCTCCAGTTTGGAGAAACTGGATGGTTAGCTGTGGATCCAGTCATTTATCTTTATCTCTAATGATGACAAATGATTCCCTCGTAACCTTCCAATGAAACAAGTATACACACAGTTCTCATCTTCCCTTTCTATTGCTGTAACATTAGTTAGAGGGATACATGCATGTTATTAAAAATTAAGTTCAAAACACATAAAATAATTCTGTATTAGAAACTGGACTTTATCGTAAGTCTCTTCTTTTTGGAAGTCATACTGGGCCGGTTAAATGCTCCAATCCCGCTGTTAACATTTAGGAAGCAGAATATTCCAGCTAGTTCAAACTGGAGGTTTAGTTACTACAACATTGACTCCTGGTTGGTTGTGTAGGTTCAGTAAGGTCTACTCCTCTTCCTCTAGTAGAATTTGCTCCTGGATTCTGTGGTTCATTCTTTGGCAGCTTTTTAGCTGAGAGACAAATTATTAAAATAAATAAAATTAGAATATTCATATTAAAATTACTTTTATCTGCTTATTTATAATTTCTTTCTAGTTATGGTTATATGATGGTCATTCACTGCAAATATTTATTTGAATGAAATGCCAAAAAAATCCCCCATTGATAGTTGTTCTAAGGGAGTATATGTTTGGGAAGGGGTAGATGACGACCAGTTGTAGAAACATAATCAAGACTTAAATTTGACTAGAGCTATATGTAATTCTTTATATATGCTTAATAATACCAATAATGTTTGTCCTCCCCGGTGCAACCTAATTATCACCCAGAATTATGAAGATCACATCTCCTTTTTCTTTCTTGGCTTCTACAGTCTTCAACCATCTACCTTTTCTTCCCTTAGAAAACTGCCCTGCCCTTTCCCCAGTGAACAGAGCCTTCAATATACTAGGCAAGTGCTCTACCACTAAGTTATACTCCCAGGTCCTTTTTTTCCCTTATGTGCTGATAAAGAATCCTCATCTGATTCACCAGTAGTTGTATCTAATTATAACTGATTCTAAAAGGTCTATCTCCAAAAACTAGATCCCAATTCTGTTTTGAGTTAAGATGAGTGTGGCTGATCAAATTTGGACAAAGCCCCTGAACCAGCATTTATGGCTTTAATTTTGCTGAGTTCTGCCAGCTAATGGATACTTTCTAGAGTATGAAAAATGTATCTAGCTTGTTTAATTACTAAGGTCCTTGAAGTTGCTGGATTCACTTTTTGAGGGGAGAGGTTATTAACATTATATGTCTAGAGTTCTTATTGTAAGGGTGTTTGGACACTGATATCTATCAATCTTGGAGATGCAATACCATGGGAAGACTAATTTTACTATAGCCTTGATTCAGGTTACTCAGGAAGCTGAATATGTTCTACTTTAAAATCTGATTGCTTAGTTGCATTTTGGATCTTTTACCCTTTATTTATTCTGTTCCACATCAGCACTAATTATCTTTAGAATCCTAGATGCTGGTTTGGGAAATGGATCCAGGAGACACAAAGGAGCACTGAAGTTTGGATTCTAGGTACAGCTCCAGGAATGGCTCTACAAGATGGTAGCATAAATGGTAATATAATGTTAAATTTCTAGTTAAATTTATTTATAAACAATGCCTTGTAGGTGCTGAACACTAATACCAGAGGTAGAATAAGTTAGCATTATAAACTGTACTATAATTAACACCAAGTTAGGTTTTGGAATGAGTAAGCATTTCTCTCTTTAGCTTACTTGTTTCAGGGCTTTCAGAAATTACATCTGAATAAGATTAGGAGGTTGAAGGAAATAAACTGGAATGAGTTTTTAAGTCCCTGAACTGATTAAAATTGTTCAGTGCACTACTGTGTGATTTAAGGTACTAATCTTGTGATGAGAAGAGCACAATTCCATTTATATTTCGAATTTCTTTCAAGTAGGGAAACATTCTGCATTGCGGATGTAATTCAGTGGCAAAGTGCTTGCCCAGTATGCGTGAGGCCCTGGGTTTGATTACCAGAACCAAAACCAAAACCAAAAACAAAACAAAAAAACCCTAAAACAACAAACAAACATACATTCTCACTGGGGTGGGAGGGATGGAGGACACTAATCTGTAGGCTACTTTATAATGAAAAGTGACCTTATATAACATATATGAATAAAAGGCACAAATTATAGCCCACCCTATGATCTTTCTTTTTCTGCAGTACGGGGGACGGAACTCAGGGCCTCAGGAATGTTAAGACAACAAGTGCTCTACTACTGAGCTACAACCTCAACCCAGTGAAGTCTTAATACCATGGAAAACTTGAAAATCCAGGCTGATTTGAGCAACCTATTATCTCCTTGTTTCCTGTTATTAATTTTTAAAATGTGATTATGCGCATAACTTGTCCCATTTGTAAGAACAGCATGTTGTCATATATAATCTTTCAAATGGTACTAGTATTTCCTTAGCAAATTACTTAAGTTTTTCAGGAAAACATCTTATACAACAGGCAAGTCTTTTTTTCCCCCCCATTTCAAATCATCCACCATTAAGCTTGATCACCTAGTGCAAATTATGAGTCCGTGGATGCTTTTACCGGGTTTTCTTTAGCCTTTGATGCAGTTATTAATTGGTTAATTTGTTAAGTTCAATATAAGAATGTTTCTTTTGGAGGGTCAGAATTGTGTACACCCTAGTTAAGAATCGCTGGGATGAGAATAATGCCAGGGTCAAGAAAACTGTGGAGGCAGTAAACTCTTGATAACTACCAAACTAGACCCCCTTCAGGCAGACTCTGCATACCAAACAGAAATATATTTTGTTTTTGTTAATTTTTTTTTTTTAAAGGCCTGATACTGGGCTGGGGTTGTGGCTCAGTGGCAGAGAGCTTGCCTCACATGTGTGAGGCACTGGATTCAAATCTCAGCCCCACAATAAATAAATGAATAAATTAAGATCCATCAACAGCTAAAAAAAGGCTTGAATACTACTCAAACTTTATTACCTATAATCAAAAACTGAAATAGAAATTACCATGCTAAAAGCAAAGATATTGTTTTGCCTTCCTTCTTTACCCTTGTGCCTTCATGTCTGAAATCTTCTACAATGTTTACATTAAAATAATTTTGGGGGCTGGGAATGTAGTTCAGTGGTAGAATGCTTACCTAGCAAGCATGAGGCCCTGGATTCAATCCCCAGCACTACACCACCACCAACAAAACAAACAAAAACATCACCCTCCACCAAAAACCAAACCAAACTACCTAAAATAATCGATTAGTCAATCTTTATACTTATGTATAATGTACTTTTCTGAGTTATATTAGTACTTCAAAAAACGTGAGAAACAGAAGTAGTGCTCTATTCAGAGCAAAGGAGAAACCAAATTATTGATTAGCTAAAAAAGAAATATTATGTCTAAATATTGCTCTGAGTTTTTGTCTTGTTTTAGGAGTCTATATGTATCTGTTACCACAAATGAGTAAGGTCAGAAAATATTAAATGGAAAATCCCAGAAATAAACAATTGACAAGTTTTAATCTGCATGCTGTTCTGATTCAAAGGAAGAAATTTTGTACCATCCTGCTCTGTCCAACCTGGGGCATGAATCATCTCTTTGTCTAGTATATCCACATGTATATGCTACTTGCCCATTATCAGCCCCCACTACTCCCCTCCCCCCTTCTACTACTAGCTATATTTCCAACCTTTATTTTTTATTTTGAGACAGGGTCTTGCTAAGTTGCTTAGGGCCTCGATAAGTGGCTGAGGCTGATATTAAACTTGAGATTTTCCTTTCTCAGCTTTCCAAATCACCAGGATTACAGACATGTGCCACTGCACCCTGCTCCCAATACTTCTTAGTAGCCATCTTAGTTATCAGATTTACTGTTTCAGTATTGTAGTATTTTGTTCAAGTAACCCATATTTTGCTTAATAAAGGCTCTGAAGTGCAAGATGATAGATGATGGCAGTCTATAGATGCCAAATAAAAACCATTAAGTGCTTTTTTCAAGTGAAAAGGTAAAAGTTATGGATTTAAAAAAAAAATCTGATACTAATGCTGCTAGGATCTGAATAAAAGCAAATACTTGGGGTTGCAGATGGAACTCAAGACTTTTGAGGCCCTAGGTTCAATCCCCAGCATCAATTAAAGAGAAAATAATCTGTGAAATTGTGATGGAAAGAGAAATCTGTGCTAGTTTTGTTGTTTCATGTCAAACTGCAAAAGTTATGCCCACAGCATGTGATACCTAGTTAAAAGATGAAAAAAGGTCATTTGTTTCAGAGTCAAGGGGAAAAAAGATTGAAAAGGCATTAAAAATAAGAGTTCAATACTATCCAAGGTTTTAGGCATCTGCTGAAGGTCTTGGAATGTACTTCCCATAGGTAAGGAGGAATTATTTGGTATAAAAAGTATACCATAATAGAAAAATATGTATTTACCCAAACTTTTCGGTGAAAGCTTTGGGAAAATCTGTTTAACTATCAATCCACTCCCAAGCATAACTCATCTGGAAGAAATTTGCCTAAATTGAAGCGTTACAACCTAATAGGTAGTGACTTTTCAAGTCTAACGATATTATCAACAGTGTTGCTTAGCAGAAGGAACCTTGAAAAGTAGTACAATTTTTAAAAAGCAAAGAATGTTTAATTCAGATAAATCAAATATATTCCATACTTGTTTTGTTTATCATTTGAAAAAAAAAGTATTATTAACCTTACCTATTGCCATGAATATTTCATTTACATTCATTGATGTTTTAGCTGATGTCTCCATGAATAATAAACTGTTGTCATCTGCATAGGACTGTGCTTCCTGTTTACAGAAAAAGAAATGAGATACATTCCTTGGACATATACTATAACTGCTTTATTTCTGTTGCAGAAAAAATGAGGCTTCTTATCCACACTCCAACTTGGTTATCTATAATCAATAACTATGTAATATGCTATAACAAAGATACAAGCACTATCTGGGGATAATTTTACCATGTAATATACATATATATTTCACCTTAACTTCTTACACTATCTTCCCTTAATCATCTGGTCTAATATTAAATCTGCTTTTTAATAATGAGTTTGGGGCAGGTGTGGGGGTAGGGGATTATTATCCTATTCTAAATATAAAACTCTCTTTGATTTCAATGGTGATTTTTACTTATGCCTATATTAACTGTAATGAAGACTAAGAGAAATCAAATGTCTAAAACTGACTTCAATCACTGAATGACATCCTCATGTTTAATTTTTAATGACTTCTATAGTAACACAATTTTGAACATCTCATGAATCATTCCTTTCAAAATTACACTGCCGCCTCACATTTTTGTCATACTTTACAGTTTACATATATTATTGCTTTTTATCCTCATAGCTGTTTTGAGTAACAACCAATTATCTGTCCCATTTGACAAACAACCGAGGTTCCTTTGAACTTTAATATGACAGGGCCACTTTTGACTATAATTTAGTGCTCTCTATATTATTCTATAATGGGGAAGTAATTGTCTAGGAAAGAATAATAGATGTTACTACACCTCACACAGTTGGTACAAGAACTGAATGAAAACTATGCATGTAATATGCTCAGCTTAATACCTAATGGTGCAAGAAATAGTTTGCTTTTGATCAGTGCATGCATTCCATCTATCACCATCGAAAAAGAAAGATAGAAAACAGGGAAGAGATAGTGGTTGGAGTGGGATCAGATAACAAATATCCAGGGAAGATTAGTGGACTAGAAGGTGGAGAACAAGAGGGAGGGAGGGCAGGGGAGGAAATATTGAATTAATTTAACAAAACCATGTTATATGCATACATAAATACCAAAGGGAATTTCACCTTTATGTAATATGTAGAAAGTACTAATCAGACACAAATAAAGAGGAGCCGGGCATGGTGGTGCATATCTGTAATCCCAGTGGTTTGGGAGGCTGAGGCAAGAAGAATCATGAGTTCAAAGCCAGCCTTGGCAAAAAGTGAGGTACTAAGCAACTCAGTAAGACCCTATTCTCTATAAAATACAAAATAGGGCTGGGGATATGGCTCAGTGGTTGAGTGCCCCTGAGTACAATCCCCGCCACCAGAAATAAATAAATAAATAAACAAATAAACAGAGCTGGGGATATAGCTCAGTTGGTTGAGTGCTTGCCCTGCATTCACAAAGCCCTGGGTTCAATCCCCAATACCACATACAAAAAAAGAAAGAATGAAGGAACCCAGGACCTTGTGCATGTGAGGCGAGCACTCCACCAACAGGAAGGAAGGAAGGAAAGGAGGAAGGAAGAGAGGGAGGGGTAAAAGGAATATCAGTAGAGTACAGAAAAGACAATGGAGGAGGGGGGAATGGGAACTGAAATCAAATTCCTTGCATAAATGATTTGTCAAAATGAACCAAACCACTATGTATAACTATAAGGCTCTAATAAAAAAAAACCAAACCACTATGTATAACTATAAGGCTCTAATAAAAAAAATGAACATTATTTCATCCCTGATATTTGACCACATCCAGACCTTTCTGGTAGACAAGCTAAGAGCAAAAAAACCCCAATAATTTTAAAAGGGTTTAATTAGAGGATTTCAAATGATTAACACTTGCTTTGTAAAAAAAATTGTGTATGTGTGTGTGCCCGCATGTGCAATTCTGAGGACAAGATCCAGGGATTACGCAAATGCTCTACCACTGAGTTATACTTCCCACCCCCATCTAGAGTTATATTTTAATGAGCATTTTATACATCTGATTTATAAAACAGATTTTATAAATCTATTATTTTCATGGTTTTAAAATCATTTGCCCCCATCTCAAAAAAGTGCCTTCAAGTTAAATTCAACATACCTGGAAATCTACATAATAAAGCAAAAATTCATTTATAATTCTGAATTAGCTGTCACAAATAATATACAAACTAGATCTTAAGTGTTTTTTCTTCTTTGGTACTAGGATTGAACCCAGGGATGCTCTATCACTAGGCTCTATCCCTAGACCTTATTTTTGAGACAGCGTCTCATTAAATTACTCAGATTGGCCTTGAACTTCCAATCCTCTCACCTCAGCCTCCCAAGTAGCTGCGATTACAGGGCTGTATTATTGTATCAGGCAAGCAATCACTTTTGCTTATGTATTTCTGCACTGTTCATGAGCAATTTTTTTTTGGGGGGGGGGAGTACTCAGGGATTGAACCCAGGAGCACCCAGCCACTAAGCCTCATCCCCAGCCCTGTTTTGTATTTTATTTAGAGACAGGGTCTCACTGAGTTGCTTAGTGCTCACTTATGCTGAGGCTGACACAGAACTTACGATCCTCCTGCCTCAGCCTCCTGAGCCACTGGGATTACAGGCCATGGGACACCGTGCCAGGTTGTGAACAATTTTTTAAAATTGTTTAGGTTGACAAAATCTTTGAAACAGTGTATATATATCACAATAATATATGGCTTAAAAATTCAGATTTATCAGGAGAAAAAAAAACTGTGTGTTATGTGCACATGTGCAATTCTGGGGACAAGATCCAGGGATTATGCATATGTTAGGCAAATGTTCTACCACTAAGCTATATCCTTCAGCCCCATTTAGAGTTACATTTTAACATGCATAGCACTTTTATAAATCTTTTATTTTCTATTATTTGCATGATTTTAAAATAATTTGCCAAAAAAAAAAAAAAAAAAAAGTGCCTTCAAGTGAAAGTTAAATTCAACATACCTGGAAATCTACAGCTCTTTTATTTGCTAGATCAGCCTTGTTTCCTGATAAAGCTATTACAATGTTGGGACTTGCTTGCCTCTGAAGTTCTTTAACCCAGTTTTTGGCTCTTGCAAAGGATTCCTGTTAAATAGAGGAATAGCTATTTGGCACAGCTCAAAAAATGGTAAGGAAGCATCTTCATGAGATAAGGCTTTAAAAGGTGACTCTACGGGAAGGAAATTTCTTTGGACTGTTTTATTATTTGAGACATTTTTTCTTTTTTAATCAAAAAGCTTTAGTAGAAAGGTTCTATTTGACTATCAAAGGATTTTCAAAATCTCTCATCAAAATTCTGAATACCCAAAACAGATATTCAATCTAGTTTCAATGTTTGAAGGCATTTGTACTTACCTCATTTGTGATATCATATACAACTATGGCTGCTTGTGCTCCTCTGTAGTACATTGGTGCTAAGCTGTGGTATCGTTCTTGACCAGCTGTATCCCATATTTCAAACTTTACCGTTGTGTCATCAAGACACACAGTTTGGGTCAGAAAAGCAGCTGAAAAAAAAATATATCACTAAGTTCATCATTTTCTTGCAAATGCCTTCATAATATAAAAAATACTTGGAAAATGTGATCATAGCATACCTGCAGTTAATACAAACTTAAAGTAGTTGCAAACTCTGTACTTCAAAACTAGATTTTATAGATGTCTACATGAGACCTCTGTAGTGAAATTACATACAGAAAAAGGTTTAATAAAAATTTTATAAAAATTTTGTTGTGGGGTTGTAGGGGTAGCTCAGTGGGAGATCACCTGCTCAGCACACACCAGGCCTTAGGATTTATCTCCAGAACTGCAAAAATGAACATTTTGTTATAATTTTAAAAAGTTTAAGAATGTGTTTCTAAATTGCAAAGCAATTTAAGTATATGTAAATTAATATTCTTGACCAACGTGGAGAAAAAACAGCTGTCCTCTGCATCTATGAATTCAACCAAGTGTGGATTGAAAACATCCACAAAAAAGCATCTCTCTGCTGGGTATGGTGGCACATGCCCATAATCCCAGTGGCTTGGGAGGCTGAGGCAGGAGGATCCCAAGTTTGAAGCCAGCTTCAGCAACTCAGTGAGATCGTGTCTCAAAATAAAAAAAGGGGTTGGGGATATGGCTCAGGGATTGAGTGTCCCTGGGTTCAATTCCTAGTACCAAAAACCCCCCAAACCTGAACACATACAGATTTTCTTTCTTGTCATTATTCCCTAAACATTACAGTATAGCAACTATACACACAATATTTACACTGTATTACATATTATAAGTAATCTAGATGATTTGAAGTATATGGGAGAACAGAGATAGGTTACATGTACTTTATAAAGAACCCGAGCAGTAGCAGATTTTGGTACCTGTGGGGATGGTTTTGGTATGTATGATCTAGAAACAATGCCCCACAGATACCTACAAACAACTGTATATTTATAAACAACATCTGCATTGGTAACAATATACCTTGTTCCATTTTCCTGTTTTTTATTGGCACATTATAGCACATCATTACTTCAGTGTAGATTTAATTTGTTACATATATTTAATATTCACTACTACCTCTTTTGTCGTTTGCTCTAAGAATTTTTGGATTTGTACTTTTTTGTCTGTGCTTTTCTGATTCCAACTTTACTAAGAAAGTACCATTATAAAATAATATTTTATTGTTTAATTAGAAGATCCACACATAAGGGCTGGGAATATAGTTGGGTGGCATGTCTGAAACCCATCAATCACCAGCAAAACTGCCCCCCCCCCAAACCCCCCCCCCCCCACACACATAGCCTACTTCAGCAGCTTGCTGGTTAATAGCCATCATACCTTACAATTCCTCTCCTCCATTAACTTTGATACTTAGATCCCTACTCTGCCCTGTCACTCATTGTAAATTGTTGGGTTCCTCCCTCCCTTTTAGTTTCAGCTCATTAAACCTCTTCCTAAATTTGAATTACAAAATTTTCTGAAACTGTTATATCATCCAAAATAATGTGATGCATCTGTATTTTAACAATACATCTATTTTTCATAAGATTGGCTAATTAATATTAAATGTGACAAGTCTAATTAAATGCATTTCTTTAATATTAGATTGACTATTTGTTTCTCATGGTGTTTTTTAATAGGTCAACTGGTTGCTGGTTTTAGTACCAGCAACTATAATCTTATGAATTTTGCAAACTTAATTACAAATGTCTGGTGAACTAGATTCTAATGCACCGTTTTATGAGTTCTCAAATAGTCTTATTTAAGATATATTCTATTTCAGCTCAAACTTCTTTTGCCAAACATAAGTCTTTTCTCAAATCCTGTATTTGTTTCAAGGATACACAGACTGTCATGAAAACAACTCTTATAAAATAAAAAATATTTCTTAACAGCTGAAATCAAGAACAGTTTGATGCAAACTCGGCAGATATTGTTTTCTCTTTTAGACATACAATGACCACAAAGCACATTAGTAATAAAAATATTCATTTAAAATTCTGTAAATCAACCCTAGGCTCAGGGAAAATAAAACTTTGCTGCTTCAAAGAAAATATAGTGTAATACTCAAACCAGTTAAAACTACCACAAAGACCACCAATCTTCTTTAAAACATGTACAAAAATGCCACATAAAATACAGGCAAAGAAATATACATTAAAAGAATAATGGCCCCTGAGCAAACAGAGACACTTTCAGGAATTCAAAGCTATTACAGTAAGACTAAAAGAAAACTTAAAGTATTTTTATTAAAAAAAATTTTAAAATTATTTAAAATTTTTTAACATTAATAAGACATCTGTGTTGATATCCAGTCCAAATACATACATAGGATTCTTCCTCAGAATTTAGCAAATGTCTTATCCTTCAAGCTAAAATCAGATTATATTTAACAGCAAAGCTCTTAGGCATTCTCTCTAAATCATAAAACAAGGACATCCAATATCACCATAATTTAATATTATTTCATATATTCTTATAACAACAAAATAAATTATTAAAAAGATATGTTCTTTGAGAGAAGCAGGATTGCCATGAAAACAAACGTTTCAGTTAAAACAGATGATTTCTTAAATTTGGCTGGAACAAATTGAAGTCAACACCATTACAATACACTGGCAATAACCAAATGAAAATATGTGAGAAAGGGAAAGCATCTCAGTTTAACAAAGAACATAAACAATCATTCCTTAAATCCACTTAGAAATGATTCTTCATCGCACCCTAGTTATTATCTCCTTTGTGCTCTTAGTTCCTTGCGTAATGACGTTTCACACTTTTTATAATTAGAGTTCCCTGAGAAATGACTATAGCTCCTCTCTAGCATTTAATATAAATCCTCATTCATAGAGACATTGAAAACTTTGTTCAAAGAATAAAGTTCACGTCGCTGGGGTTGTGGCTCAGGGGTAGAGCGCCTGCCTGGCATGTGTGAGGCACTGGGTTTCAATCCTCAGCACCACATAAAAATAAATAAAATAAAGGTATTGTGTCTATCCACAACATCAAAACAACAAAAAAAAGTAGTAGTTCAAAAACTGATATGTGGAACCATTTATGGGCTATTTTAGATAAGATCTAAATTAAAAGTTTCCAACTGGGAATAGATATTTCAAGTTATTATTATAAGGTTGAGTATCTCTAATCCCAAAATCTGAAATATTCCCAAAATTAAAAAATTGAGCACTGACATGATACCACAGTAGAAAATTCCACACTATGGAATCTATAACAAATTTATAACAAAATAAATTATTAAAAAGATATGTTCTTTGAGAGAAGCAGGATTAAAAATTTGTTTAAAACTTATTTAAAATATTCTATCAAATTGTTTTATGAATAAAATTATTTAAAATATTCTATAAGATATGAATCTTGGGCTGCAGTTGTGGCTCAACAGTTGAGCACTCGCCTACTACAAACAAGGGGCTGGGTTCAATCCTCAGCACCACATAAAAATAAATGAAATAAAGGTACTGTGTCCAACTACAACTGAATATATATATATATTTACATATATGTATATATTTACATTTATATATATATATATATATATATATATATATATAAAAGATATGAATCGTATTTTATAGATAAGGTGATATCTATAAGACTACAGAGTCTTGCTATAATTGCCCAGGCTGGTCTCAAACTTTCGGTCCTCCTGACCCAGCCTCCTGAGTAGCAGGAATTACAGGTGTGGGTCACCATTCCTGGCTTGATTTGAAGCATTCTGGATAAGGAACACTTATAACCCATATAACTAAACATGATCTCAAACAAAAAACACTATCAAGATATTTTTAACTTGCTAACACTGTTCATATATGAAAAACATCATAATTTTGGGAAGGGGAAAAAGACTATCAAAAATAGTCAAGTGCTATGGCACAAACAGGACAGAAATATTACTGGAGCAGAATAGCCTAGAACACAAACTCTTGTACACACACACACACACACCCCAAGTCCTTAATGACAACACAGAGTTCTCAAGTATTCAAATACAACTATAGTGTTCAGCTTCTCTTAAAATTCAGTGCAGTATAACTAAAATTTAAGTGACATCTTCAAATCCTTATTGCTCCTAAAAAAAAAAAAAAGCTTTACTAGTCATTTATAAAAATAAATTCTGCCACTAGAAATATTAACTACTACATCAATACCGTAGCAACATTAACCAACCACAAACTTACCTGAATCTGAAAAACCACTTTAATTTATCCAAAATGATTATTTTCTGGCTAAGAACCATCACTTTCTTAGACCTCTTCATTTTCTCTTGACTTCCATCACCAGCACTAGCAGTTGGTTTTCTTTTCAGGCCCATATTTCACAAAGAAACATCTTTTATCACTTCGAGAGTTACTGCATACTCGATGACAAGTAGAGAAAAACAAAGCTGCGTTGAGATGCAGGTGCTGGCCTATCTAATAGACTCCCTCTTTGAGCTACATGATGAACTCCTATTAGCAAGTTTGGTAGGCAAGCCAAGGAACATTTCTTCCTCAGCAAAACTACAAATTACTATATCATAGAGCTTAAGGTCAATGGAGAATAGCTAAAACCATATATATAAATCTGTAAATACCAAAGGCCCATAGTATGTGAGACCCTATATAATGAGCAAGGAAGAGACACTAAAATACTCTGGGCAAATGAAAAAATATTTGAATTGCTACTGTTAACCCAAAGATTGGTGAAACCTAAAGATAAGCTCCCCTACATCTAATATGATCCTATAAAAACTGAAAAACATACCATTCCCACCCCAGGTCACAATTATTATTTACAGTGCCAGGAATCAAACCCACGGCCTTATTCACACCAGGAAAGCACCCTACCACTGACCTACATCCCCAGCTCTCAAAGTTATTATGTATCAACTTTGATAGAAAAGAATTATTTTTTGGAATTGTGAAAAAATGTCAGATATGACAATCAGGTTTGATTATACAAAAATTTGAGACTTCAAGTTTGCAAAGGTGAGTCATACATCCAAAACACAGGGATTTAATATTTTAAT